ACTTCCGTAGTGATACTGCCTCGGAAACCCAAGGAGGGGTCGCTATGAGTCGGGGCCGACTCGACGGCACATAACAACAACAACAACAACATACTTACTATTTATAGTTCATAGCCAAATCTGCAAAATACTTTCTTCTTTTACGGTAGACATTATCTTTGAAACCCTGAAAATTGAAGATAAGTTTTTAAATATCCATAGTAAAAAATACTTGGAAAATGTTATTTAGAAAACATCTCATTAATTCTTGAGTTTGTTAAGGGCATACATAATTGTTACTATGAGCAAAGACTGGTTAGAACTTTATAATAATTTTTATTCTAAAGTCATTAGAATGGTTATAATGATAAAATCATTTGAGGAATAAAAAAACATCACCCCAGTTAAACACATGGCTTTTTTCCATGGTTGAGTTTGTTTCTTGTTTTTTGTTAATCTTTCAACTACTTCATTTTCAGCTATATTTTCCTGTGATTGATAATAATTGAAATAGTGATTTAACTAAATCTAGTCTTAGATTTTATCACAAAATACAAACATATTTTTTGCAGAAGCAAATAATGATAATAAAAAACAAACTAGAAACTTTAGAAATATATGCCTATGAAAAATATTTGAGAAAAAATAGGTAAAATAAGAAGTTAGAAAGAAAAACCCAGGAGAAAATAGCCAATAATGCAATAATAAGGGGAAAAGGAAGGACACCTAAAAGGGGACTATGAGATCCCTTTAATACACATTTAGGAACCTCAACATGAGGAGCCCTGGCAGTGCAATGGTTAAGCACACTACTGCCAACTGAAAGGTTGGCGGTTTGAACTCACCCAGTAGCTCAGTGCGAGAAAAGACCTGGTGGTCTGCTCTATTAAAGATTACAGCCTGGGAAACCCTATGGGACAGTTCTACTCTGTTATATAGGGTTTGCTATGAGTAGGACTTGATGGAACACAACAATTATTATGTACCTGGCCTTGTGCTAAAAGCTAGAGAAACAAATATGAACAAGGCACAATCTGAGTCCTCTAGGAGTCAACATTAATAATTCTAAGATTATATGATAAAGCTTGTTAGAAATATACATGAATGCCAAGAAAATGCAAGAGAAACTCATAATCCAGTATATATGAAAGAGGATAGTGGAGCTCAGAGAGGCTTCCCAAAGATGAGTCCTGAGCCAAGAGGATGGAGACAGCAGTGTAGAGAATAGACAAGACAACACAAACGATAGCACACAGATGAGAAGCAGGAGATTAGCCCTCGCAACATACAAACAAGTGTTGCTGGACCCTGCAATGGGAGGTGGAGCATGCTGAGAAGTAGCCTGCTAATTAAGGCTCTGTTAAGGAGCTTGAATTTTAGCCTGAGTAATGGGAAGCTTTTGGTGACTTAAAATAATAAATAACAGCTTTCTTGAGATATAATTCACATACCATAAAGTTCACCCTTTAAAGTGCATAATTTAATAGATTTTAATATATTCACATAGTTGTGCAACCATCAGCACTGTAAAATTTTTATTACCCCAAAACAAAATACCATGCCCTTTTGCCCTCACTTCTTTTACCCCCACCAGTCACTAGTTGTTGCCACTGAGTCCATTCTGACTCATGATGATCCTGTGTATGTCTGATTAGAACTGTTTTCAATGGCTACACTTTCACAAGTAGATCCATTAACTTTGCATCATCCAGGTACCACCTCAGCCCCTAGAAATCAGTAATTCACTTTCTATTTCTATAGATTTGCCTATTCTAGGCATTTCATACAAAAGAAATCATAATATATGGCCTTTCATGACTGACTTCTTTTATTTATCATAATGTTCAAGGTTCATCCATATTTTAGCATGTATCAATACTTTATTACTTTTAATGGCCAAACAGGAGCTCTGGTAGGGTAGTGTCTAAGGCACTTGACTGCTAACCAGAAGGCTGGCAGTTCAAACCCACCAGCCACTCCTCAGAACGAAGATGGGGCAATCTACTTCCGTAGTGATACTGCCTCGGAAACCCAAGGAGGGATCGCTATGAGTCGGGTCCGATTCAACAGCACATAACAACAACAACAATGGCCAAATAATATTTCATTGCATAGATATTCATATACTACATTTTACTTATCTGCTAACCAGAAGGCTGGCAGTTCAAACCCACCAGCTACTCCTCAGAAAGAAGGTTGGGCAATCTACTTCCACAGTGATACCACCTCAGAAACCCAAGGAGGGGTCGCTGTGAGTCGGATCCTACTTAACGGCAACGAGTTTGGTTGTTTTTGGTTATTCATCAGTTGATGCATATCAGAGTTGTTTCTAGCTTTTGGTTATCATGAATAATGCTGCTATGGATACTGTGTACAAGTCTTTGTGTGGCATATGCCATCAGTTCTCTTACATAACATACTTAGGAGTGGAACTGTTCGTGGTTTTTAGGCAGAGAAGGATTATGGTCATATTGAGGTTTTAGATAATTCTAGTGTACTTTGGACATGTTATCATGAGGGACCAATCCCTAGAGAAAGATACCATGCTTGGTAAATTAGAGGGTCAGCGAAAAAGAGAAAGATCCTCAACAAAATAGATTAACACAGTGGCTGCAACAACAGGCGCAAACATTGCTACTATTCCTGTGATGATGGCACAGGACCAAGCAATGTTTCATACTGTTATACACAGGGCTGCTGTGAGTCAGAGCCGGCTCGACGGCATCGAATATAACTATCAGTGACCATGAGGAGGCAGCGAGACTGGAAGCAAGGAGACCAGGTAAGAGATATGGTAGTAGGGACAAATAAGGAACAACTGATTAAGAGATATTTAGACAATCAGCAGAACTTGATAATAGATCAGTATTGCTGACTTACCTTTCCATAAACGTGCTCCAGGTTTTCCTGCCTCTGAGCCTTAGTTCATATCATTCCCTCCTAAATTGTCCTTTGTCTCCATCTCTTTCTTACATTCCAAAACCTTGTAAGGCCCAATTGAAATGTTGCCTTTCTCTGATCTCTTCAGATAAAAGTGATCATTCTCTTGGTTCGTGCCAATTACCACACTTCTCACATTTTATCTTTTGTGTGTTTATTTACATATGTATGCTGTCTGTTTTCAACTAGACTATAAGCACCTTGAGAGCAGGTGCCAAAAAAAAAAAGAAAGAAACCTCACTGCCATCAAGTTGATTTCGACTCATAGCAACCCCCATTGGGTTTCCAAGGCTGTAAATCTTTACAAAAGTAGATTGCCCCATTTTCCTTCCATGGAGCAGCTGATGGGTTTGAACTGCTGACCTTCTGGTGCCACCAGAGCTCCTTATGCCACCAGGGCAGGTGCAGCAATTCAGTAATTCCAATAGTTGCTCAATAACATATTATAGAATAAATGAATGGACCAGCAGATGATAGTAAGTGCATGGTCACACCCACACAGCTAATAAGTAGTAACAACTAGAGTAAAGCCCCTGGTCTATGAGACTCCACAATTGTACTCTCTCCTTTCCTTCCCTCCTGGGAACCTAGAGCTCTGTAAGCAATCCTAATGCTATGGACTTAATACTTCTCCAACTAAAATATGCTTATACTGTAGCACATACAGTATTTCAAGGAGACTACTGGTAATAAGCCAATCGTGTGGAACAGCATGGGTAATAAATATGTTTTCCTTTTCTTTCTAATAACATATAACTGGGAATAATGTTATTATTACCAAATTAATATTAACCTATTATTATATATTTATGTCATTTTAATAAAAATTGTAGATACTGTCTTCATTTTAGCATAACTCTTGGAATAGCTCCTAATAATAGGAATACCATGGGACAGGTGTTTTGGAGCCAGTGAAGTTAGATGCTCTTTAGGTATCCAGTGGTCATAGGGTTAATCAGTTATTCTCAGTTCCACCAAAATAAAGGTCTAATGATGCTTCCTAAAGTTAGGATTAAGATAAGATTCCATTCAGTCTAGAATAAACATTTTCTCAAAAATAAGTTGCCCTTAAGTTTTAGTTTTGCCTCAAAATCATTTGCAGAAAAAAAGAAAAAAAAGGTGGGGACCAGGTTTGCTGGTCTGATAGAGCCTGGTGGAACCACTGAGACTATGGCCCCTAGCTGCCCTTCAGGTCTGGAATTGAACCCACACCTGTGGTTTCCAGCCAAACAAAAGACAGGCATATGAGTTGAACATTTACCTCAAGTAGATACACTGTTTGGAGAGAATAATCATGGGAGAAAGAAGGGCTGCTTATGCACAGGGAGACAGCTCAGGGGGCAGGAGTATATGGAGGGATGGACACTGGGAAGAGGTAACTGTGGGGAGGAAGTGGGAGCGGAGCTGTTGCATTGTGGTAAACTGTGGTCAAAGACATGAGACAAAGTATACGTGAACTGCTGTATAGAAAGTGAATTTGCTCTGTAAATCTTCACCCAAATCACAATTTAAAAAAAAAAAAAAGTGAGAAGAAAAAAAAAAGTTTCAGTTTTGCTTTAAATTATTTTCATGAAAATATTTAATAGAGATATTTACAGGATGGTCTGCATCTAGTTCAGAGCCATACATCAGAACTCTGTTGGCACAAAGGTCCAGGTCTGAAATCTTCTTTGGAAACCAAGGAACAGTTTCCAAACCTGCAAAAAGACAAAAACCACTGAAAGTTGAAGAGACAATCTTAAATAATGCACTAAGAAATTAAGAACAACATAAACATAGTTGGGTGGGATTTTTTAAAATTTATATACTTTATTTATGATTATGAAAGTTATAATCCTCATGTAAAAATACATGTATACATAAACTATAATGATAAAGATAAGCAATTTATAAATCCTCTGGTGGTGTGGTGCCTAAGGCACTTGACTGCTAACCAGAAGGCTGGCAGTTCAAACTCACCAGCTACTCCTCAGAAGGAAGGTTGGGCAATCTACTTCCATGGTGATACCACCTCAGAAACCCAAGGAGGGGTCGCTATGAGTCAGATCCGACTCCACAGCAGTGAGTTTATTTTAGTAAAGTTGGATTGATTTTCAAAATGTTGGAGAAATGCTTTTATTTAGTACCAGAATAAAAGTTCCCCCAAAAAAATTTAAATCATACATTTAGTTATTCTAAAAGGTGGAATAAGAAGGTATAATTACATCTATAGACCAATTGAATAAGAACTTTGAATGTTTGTTTATTTTTATTGCTGAAAAGGACCTTACAGGTCATTTGTGTCTCTACCACCTGGATCTTCTCACCACTCCTCAGACATAACCAACTCTGGATATTTTGCATATATTGTTGGCATAAACAGTTTGCACTCTATCAACCTAAAGATTGGCAGTAGAAACTCACTCAGCAGTGCCATAGAAAAAAGACCTGGCTAACTGTTTCTATAAAGATTACAGCTAAGAAGCCCTAGGAAGCAGTTCTACCTTGCACTGACTACTATATATACTACCTGTATCTACTCGGGATGAACTCAATGGTAGCAGGTTTGGGTTTTTTTGTTTTGCTTTGTTTTTGGTTCTTCTGTCTGGAAAATCCACCCCACCTCACTTAGTCTTCTGTTTTCCTGAGAATATTCTTCTCAGTCTTTAAGACACAGATGGGATCTTCTTACTTGCCAAAGCCTTCCTGACTCTCTAGGTGAGCTGATTCTCTATCCTCTGAGTTTCTAAGACACTATGTTTCTAACTCTTTAAAGGCTTTTACTGTCTTTGAATATAATACAACTATTTATTTATCTGTCTGACTCGCAAGACTGGGAACTAGGGTAAGGGTTATAAGCATTTTTGTAACCCATTCTCTTAGCAGAAATATCTGACATAAGTTGGTGTACTCTAAATATCAACTGAACCATCTATCCAAACTCCTTATTTTATAGGTGAGGTATCCAAAGTCTCTTGCTATGTTGTTATGTGCCATCAAGTCGGACCTGCCTCATAGCGACCCCTCCTTGGGTTTCTGAGGCAGTATCACTACGAAAGTAGATTGCCCCATCTGCCTTCCAAGGAGTGGCTGATGGGTTTGATCTACCAGCCTTCTGGTTAGCAGTCAAGTGCCTTAGGCACTACGCTACAAGGGCTCCTATCCAAAGGATAGGGAGGTAAAATAATTGACCCAAGGTAATTAATTTCTAATGGAAAAGAGTGGATTAGAACCCAATCTAATGTTCTTTCTAATAACCACCAGAGTGTTATTCAAGAGATTTAACAGCAAATACAACAGGGACACCAATCACTCACTCAAAATAGATAAAAGCAGAGTTCTAGGCTCCTGCTCCACTAGTTGCTTACTGTGGGGTTCCTAGAAGAGGACTTGGCACAATGAGGGAGGGAAGGGCCTTCAGGCATGGTGGGGAGTGTTCATGGGACTTGGGGAAACAGCTATCTGACAGCAAGAATAAAAGTATATCAATATTATAATAACTGGCACAGCCATATGAATGCATGGCAGATGAATATCAGTCCGAACAGTGTGATAAGACCTAAAGAGATTATTTTAAATTGAGTACCATATGTAAAATGTGGCTGAATTATCTACTTGCTATTTACCTTCAATTAAACTACAAAAATTTTTCATAAATGGAAGATCTTAGCCTATACTTTTGCTATCTGACTATCTGAAAACTTAGAAGGCTTTATTATGTTTCATTTGCTTTGGTGAAGGACAGAGAAGAATGCTATACACAGTGTATTTCATATTATAGTTGTCAGCAACTGTCAATATTCTCAAAAAATTCAAAGTTTCACCTAATATCTGCTAGCTATAAATAACTATGATACACTTGGTAAGAGTTACTATGTGTTCAGGAGTTGTAAAATGGAGATTTTGTAAATGAAATGGGGGACAATTTGGAACTGGAGAAATAATTGTTAAAGATTCTGTATTCTTTCCTAAACTCAAGGTTTCTTTCTCATCCCTCCTGCACTTGATCAAGTGTTGCTTTATCATTTTTCTTCAGTAACATGAGCAATTATACTTTTTGTGTTCCTTTCTGTAAGTAAGAGATAGTGTTTTATTTTTACTTTCATACCTTCAACATAAATATACAACTGGACACATTACATACTTAATCTTTTTCTCAGGTCCTTAATTTTATGAATAGTATTTTTATTTTCAAACTTACCATCTTCCTTCAGAGTAAAATTATCTGCTGGATTCACAGAGAGAGCATTAGTATGAGACTTCAACAGATGAAAAATATCATTCAATTGTTCTCTGTTGATATCACAGTCAACAAAAATCTCAAATTCTGAGTTTCTTCTTTTTGATTTTCGTGACTCAATATGTAACAGGTTCACATGATTCTCCTGTGGAAAGCAGAGGATGAAGATTGCATGGAACTTCCTGAAGTGCTAATAGTTCTCTGGGCAGATTAATTTCATTACCATTAAAAATCAATTTCACAAGAAAAAAAAATCAATTTCACAACAGCACAACCAGAACAGAAATAATGAGAATGTTCATACATTGTGAAGCTTGCAACAAATATCAATGAACAACACATGTAGCATTTGTTGAATAAGAACTTAAACTGCTATGTAAACCTTTACCAAAAACACAGTAAGATATTGTTTTTAAAAAACAACTTCACACTTGTCATAATAGTCAGAAGTGGGGGAGACACCCTGTTTTCAGTACAGCCAGCAGCAAAATAATCCCCCTTAAACATTAGGTACTATTCAGAAAAGTTTGGAAAATTGATCACACCCTCCAGAAACCAATAAAATAATATCCACTAGAGGTTGTCAGATTGCCAGAATCGGTTGACATTCAAATAAAAATACTAAGTGTCCTGGATAAAAAGAATCTCCTGGAAATTCTCACAAATAAAAGCTAGTTTCCAGAAAAGTGATAGTATGTTGATACTTTAGAAAGAAAAGTTTACTTTGTAAAAACACATTTAATGAATTTAGATGAACAGCTTGAACACAGGGTATTCAATTCCTCAAATCTCCCAAACTAGAAACCTAGCAATCTTCTGAACCCCATTCTGCTTCTGATCTCTTGCCATGTCAACTGGACCTGTCGGTGCCATGTGAACCTTGGGCAGGGGCAGCTTCTTTTACTAATTTGAGTAGCTTAGATAAATCATTGGTGAAACATGAGAACCAATCACTCAACAATTTTTTTTCATTTAAAAAAGAAAAGGTTGAGATAAACAGGAATTATCAACAAACCAACAAGAAAAGAGAGTGAGTGTTAGGGGATATTGGGAAATTGGAGTAGGTAGGCATTATCTTGGAACAGAGACTTGATCATGGAATCAATAAAGGCAGCCAGGTAGAATATATACAGGAATTGATTGGGCGTAAAGGAGAATTTCATTTAATCTATTTCTTATTAATTTATATAGGAATTCATTCATAACTATTTTCTGCATTTAGAAACACAATTTTAAAAACAGATTAAAATAATGATATAGAGAAGATCTGGTGGTAACGTGGCCAAGGCACTCAGCTGCCAACCAAAAGGTCTGGGGTTTGAACCCACCAGCCACTCCATGGGAGAAAGATGAGGTAGGTAGTCTGTTCCCATAAAGACAAACAGTCTTGGAAACCCTATGTGGCAGTTGTACTCTGTCCTATAGGGTTCCTAGGAGTCGGATCGACTAGATAGCAGTGGGTTTGGTTTGGTTTGGTTATATTAATGCAGAAATAAAGATTCTATTTAAAATAGCAGCTCTGGTGCCTTAGTGCCTAAGGATTTTACTGCTAACCAGAAGGCTGGCAGTTCAAACCCACCAGCCACTCTGGAAGGAAGACTGGGCAATCTACTTCCATAGAGATATTGCCTTGGAAACCCAAGAAGAAGTCGCTATGAGTTGGAATCAACTCAACAGCAATGAGTTTGGTTTTTTCTTTTTGGTTTGGTTATTTAAAATAGCAGCAAAAGTCATAAAATAACTAGAAAATACTAAACTAAAGTCTGCTGAATATATAAATCACTTGAATAAATGTGGACCTAAACTATGTTTGAGAATAAAGAATTAAAATGTCAATTCTTCCTAAATTAATCTACATATTAAATGCTATCAAAAGAAAAATCTCAGAGTCTGACCTCAGGAAAGGGGTTGGAGGTTGAGTCCAATGACATGGGCAATGATTCAATCAATCATGCCTATGTGATGAGAGCCCAGCATAAAATCTCTGGACATGAAAGCTCCATGAGCTTCCTGGTTAGTGACAGACATCAATGAACAGGGAAGATAGCACATCTTTTGAAATATGGAAGCTAAGCTTTGGGAACCCTCCCAGGCTTCATACTGTGAGTTTCTTCTTTTAAATCCTTTTCTCTATAACAAAACTGCATTCATAAGTTTAAAAAATTTAAAAAATGAGGACAATCTCAGAGGAATTTGGTGAGGAAATATAAATAAATAATTTTAAAGTTCACCTGGGAGAAAAATTTTAGTCAAAAAATCCAGGAAAATTCAGATAGTGTAGGAGTCATAATGAGACATTCCCTATCAGATATTTCAGTTTACAGAAATAAAGGCACAGAGAGGTTAAGCAGATTGCCCAAAGGCACACAGCTTATAAAGGTCAGACTTGGAATTTAGACCCAGGCAGTCCAGCTCCACTGTCCATGCTCTTAAACATTATGCTGTAATCTTCTTGCATAAGAAAGGAAGAGTCAAAATAATGAATCATATGTCTCTTTGAGGACCAAGGTGAACCTAACCCAAGCCATAGTGTTATCAACAGCCTCATATGCATGTGAAAGCTGGATAATGAATAAAGAAGATCAAAGAAGAGTTCGTGCTTTTGAGTTGTGGTGTTGGTGAAGAATACTGAAAGTGCCACAGACTGCCAGAAGAACAAACAAATCTGTCCTGGAAAAGGTGCAGCAGGAATGCTCCTTGGAAGCAAGAATGGCCAGACTTCATCCCTACATTTGGTCATGTTTTCAGAAAGGTCCATCCCTGCAGAAGAGTATCATGCTTAGTAAAGTGGAGGATCAGTGAAAAAGGGGAAGGCCCTCCACGAGATGGACTGACACAGTAGATGCAACGATGGGCTCAGGTATAGCAGGCATTATGAGGCTGGTGCAGGACTGGGCAGTGTTTTCATTCTGTTGTGCACGGGGTCGCTATGAGTCGGAGCTGACTCAACAGCACCTAACAACAACAACATGGCTTTTCTTTGAATAATATTTGCATAAACTTGGTAATGATGAAATTAAAGACTAATTAGCCAAAAATTGGGACATAACTACTTTGGGAGGAGGTGGGGAAGGGAAATAAAGGGGTTGCGTCAAGAAAACTAAATCTTTACTTCCATTGTAGAAAGCCAATATATAATATCTACAACTGAAAAAAAAAAAAAACAAGAAACAGCAGCAGAATAAACATGCCATTTAGAAATATGGAAGTAAAGCTAAAAAAAAGAAGAAGAAGAGTTGTAAAATGGTGCCTTATCCAGGTGTCCATGACCGAGGTGACGATAAGTACATTGGGGGGCAGCACAACCAGAACGCTGTGCAGCAGTTAGAAAAATGGATGAAATGTGTGAAATTTCACCCAAACTGGCAGAAAGTTAAATAAATGAACGAAAAGGACCAGAATGGTTTAAAACAAACAAACAAAAAATGAATAGATTTTAAAAATATACTGCTTAGTGAAAATGTCTATATAATAATATTTATAGAAATTACTAAAGTATGTACATACAGAAATTCTACATAGTCTACAAGTATACAAAAAAAAAAAAAAGAGATGAAATTAAACATACCAGAGCAGCTATCAGGAGAGGAAAATGAAGATGAAAGGCAACCGCTAAATAAAACAAGAGGAGATTCCATGGGTCCATGATGACGATGATAGTGTAAGTTTAACCCATTAAGTCTGATTAACTCAACCCCTTACACCTAAGGTTAACAAAAAAAAAAAATTGAGTGGAACTTGGGAATGAAGAGAGATGGAGCAGAAGACTGCTGGGGTTCTGTTCTTGTTTTTTAATAAGTTCTGTTTTTTGGATTGGCTTTTTAAACTACGTACAATTGTTCTTTGATTAAAAATAAGAAAGGAAGTTGATGGAAGAAGAAGTCTAGATAGATTATTTAAAGACCACACAGGCAATCAGTAGAATAGCTTAAATAATAAGATAAGGATCAAACTTTGGGAGGAGAGGAACAGGTGATATCAATGAGTAAGAGTGTTCATAACAGGGAGTATATGAATATTGTGGTGTGAAGGTAATAAAGAGAAATACAAGAGCAACATTTAGATTTTTTTAAATTCACCACTTAAAGTGCTGAAGAACAGAAATGGTTAAAAGAGGTTGTCTCTAGGAAGTGGGACTGAGGATATGTGTTGTGTAAGAAAACCCATGCTTTTCATCACAAACTCTTCTCAACCATTTGAGTATATAATCTATCATTTCAATTTTAATTATTTTAAAAATACTATTTTAAAATAGCTACATATTAGAACAGAGGAGCCTTTGGTGGCATAGTGGTTAAAGCACTCAGCTTCAGACTGAAAGATCAGAGGTTTGAACCCACCAGCCATCTGTCAGAGACAGATGTGGCAGTCTGCTTCTGTAAGATTTATAGCCTTGGAAACCCTATGGGGCAGTCCTACCCTGTCCTGTAGGGTCACTATGAGTTAGCATTGCCTCCTCAGAAGTAGGTTTGGTTGTGGTATGCCTTACTATGTCATTTATCAATCATTTACTTTGTATTATCCTAAGCATTTTACATTTATTACTTCTATTAATCTCATAATAACTCTATGTGACAGGTAAAGTCCTCATGTTATACATATGAAGACTGAAGCACAAATAGATTAATTAATTTGTCCATGATCACCCAGAAATCTATTCTTCACATGGTCTCTAAACTGAGATGGGATCAAATGACATATTGCATTGGGCAAATTTGCCACAGAAGAACTTTTTAAAGTGTTAAAGAGCAAAGATGTCATTTTGAAGACTAAGGCGCCAAGGCATGGTATTGTTGATCGCCTCACATGCATGTGGAAGCTGGATAATGAATAAGGAAGATTGAAGAATTGATGCATTTGAATTATGGCATTGGTGAAGAATATTTTACATGTCATGGACTGCTAGAAGAACAAACAGAAGTACAGCCAGAATATCCTTTAGAGGCAAGACTTCATCTCACATACTTTAGACATGTTATCAGGAGGGACCAGTCCCTGGAGAAGGACATCATGCTTGGTAAAGCAGAGGGTCAGTGAAAAAGAGGAAGACTCTCAACAAGATGGATTGACAGTGGCAACAATGGGCTCAAACATAACAATGGTTGTGAGGATGGCACAGGACTGGGCAGTGTTTCCTTCTGTTGTACATAAGGTCGCTATGAGCTGGAATCGACTCCATAGCACCTAACAACCCAAATAGTGTGTGACAGAGCCAGGATGCAGACATAGGGGGTCTGCAGCTGGAGCCCACAAGCCTAACCATAATACCACTCTAGAAACATAATTTAACCCACCCATTACCTTAGCAAAGTAGTTTGTTTATAAAATAAATAAATAAATTTTTGTGTCCCTGAGCCCTTAAGCCAGATTCAAACTCACTCACTGACATCGATCAATTCCAACTCATAGTGACCACTATTGGGTTTCCAAGGCTGTAAATCCTTATGGAAGCAGACTGCCCCATCTTTCTTCCACTGAGTAGCTGGTGGGTTTGAACCACTGACCTTCTGGTTAGCAACCAAATGCCTTAACCACTGCACCATCAGAAAACCAAAACCAAACTCACTGCTATCGAGTTGATTCTGACTCATAGCGACACCCTTTGGTTTTCCGAGGTGGTAAATCTTTATAGAAGTAGATTGCCCCACATTCCTTCCATGGAGCAGCTGGTGGTTTTGAACCACACCTTCTGGTTAGCAGTCAAATGCCTTAGGCACTGTACCATCAGAGCTCCTTTAAACTAGATTAGGTCCCTGAATTAAATGTTGTCACAGCACTTGTACTTCTCTTTCAGGTCACTTTATATTACTAAGTTACTATAATTATTTGTTTAATGTCTGCCATCCCCACTACAGTATACACTGTGAGGGCAGGGATTGTGTCTGCCTTGTCCAGTACCATATTCTTAGTATTTAACCTGACATCTGGTACGTTTTTGTTAATGCCATCTAGGTGGACCCTGACCTATGGCAACCTCATGTACAATGGGATCAGACCATATCAATCCATAGGGTTTTAAATGGCTAATTTTCACAAGTAGATTGCCAGGCCCTTCTTCCTAGTCTGTCTCAGTTTGGAAACAGCATCACAGCAACACACAAACCTCCACTGATAGATGGGTAGTGGCTGCACTTGAGGAACACTGGCCAGGAATTGAACCCAGGTCTTTCGCATGGTAGGGGAGAACTCTACCACTGAACACCACTGCCCTCATCTGATATATAGTTAAAAAAAAAAAAAAAAAAAAAAACCCACCAAACTCACTGCCATCGAGTTGGATTCAACTCAACTCATAGCGACCCCTCCTTGGATTTCTGAGATAGTATCACTATGAAAATAGATTGCCCAATCTTCTTTCCAAGGAGTAGCTGGTGGGTGTGAACCACCAGCCTTCTGGTTAGCAGTCAAATGACTTAGGCACTATGCCACCATTAATAAATACTTGTATACTGCCTGACTGACCCCTATTTCCTCAATATAGATTTATACTGAGTCAAAGAAAATAAACATTTTAAGGTTCATAGTACATACTACCAGATTGTTACCTATACGGTCACACCAATTTATCCTCACACAGAAAGTGTATGTGACTGCCAGAAGCATTGATGGAAGAGAACATAGGATTATAGAATCTTTGCCCTTTTACTAAATGAAAAACAGTATCACAGCTTTCTTTAAATTTGCTTTGAAATCGATGAAGTGAACTTTTTTCCTCCATTTCTTTATTAACATTTTGTAGCTCCTCTTCTGTAAGTTGTTTCTATCCTTTGCCCAATCTTTAGAATTAACCAAAATTTTAAGTTCTTATCAAATTGCTGTGCCCCATCTCTAATTTACCAAAACCCAAATCCGCTGTCACTGAGTCGATTGCGACTCATAGTGACCCTACAGGACAGAGTAGAACTGCTTCATAGGGTTTCCAAGGCTGTAAATCTTTACAGAAACATACTGCCTCATCTTTCTCGCATGGAATGGCTCGTGGGTTTGAACTGCCAAACTTTCGGTGAACAGTTCAGTGCTTTAACCACCGTGCCACCAGAGTTCCTTAAATAATTTACAGTAATTTATATTTTAAATATAATTTTAGAAAGTGGTATTTAGGAGAGTCTTGTGAAAAGTGTTTACCTGGAAGATTTTCAGAGCTTTTATAAGTCCTCCAACTTCATTCTTCAAGGAAAAAATAAGAGTTGCTCTTCCCCTTTCTAGGGAATGGTCTCTGTTCTCCTTATTGTCTTCAATCATGATGAATTTGGTGTGCTTCTCTAAAATTGAAGTATGAAAATACAGAGGGTTAAATAAGTTATGTAATGTTGGCAATATTTGATCATAAGTGCATAATAACTTCTTCTGGCTTCAGTTTTCTCATTGGATAAACAAATATGCTTTGTAAGACTGTTATGATACCAAAGTAAGATGAAATGCCACCTTCCATAGCACCCAGACATACAATACACATTGTTCTCTTTTCTAACTCAATCTTTCATCAGAGCAGTGTTCAAACCAACCAGCTTCATATAGGCTTCCCTGACTATTACAGACCAAACTGAGCTCCATGAAAGTCTATCCCCTACACACAATTCTAGCACTTGATTATACCAGGTCTTGAATTGCTTTTCAACTGTGTTATTCATACATGTCTTATCTTCTGACAAGGCAGCAAGCTCCTTGAGAGCAAGAAGAAGGCCTTCTATTTCTTTTGTAATGGCTAGCTCTTATAGACTAGAAGGATAATTGCTAGCCAGTATATATTTTCTTTTTAAATCAACACTTTGATAGGCCAATGTCAACTGATACTTTCTCTCTTCTTGAGAAAGGCAGGGAGCTCTTCCCCTCTGTATTTCCTGTGCTGACAAATGAGGCACCAGTGTGCAGCACAAGCCATAGGGAAGAAGGCGGATATACCAACAAAGAAGCTGGAAGATCAACAGCCCCTTGGTAGAGTACACGTCAATCTGCACACATTTGCTAACTCTTTTTCCTCTAGGTTTTATTAATAAGTAGTACAAAAGAGAATTCATCGGACCTAGGAAGCACAAGAACTATCAAATTAAAGTCTTCAAAAACATGGATGCTGTCTGAAGACAGAACAGCACATAGTGAGCAAATCCTCCAGAGAGGTCTTTATTTTCTTTTCCAAGCAGGGGACAGGACTAAAGATGAGAGTGAAGATGAAATTCAAGAGAAAATACTGCCCATGCAAAAACATCAGCCTAGGAAATAAAGGGACTGGCAAAGAAAATGTAAATAGAAGGCACATCCCTATGCCTAAGGCACCTGACTGCTAATTAGGGGGCTGGCGGTTCAAACCCACCAGCGACTCCTTGGAAGGAAGATTGGGCAATCTACTTCCACAGAGATATCACCTTGGAAACCCAAGGAGGGGTTGCTTTGAGTCGGGATTGACTCAAGGGCAGTGAGTTTATCTTAATTTGGGCTAGTATGATAATAATACATGTACAAATGCACAAATCCAGTGGTTAAATATATAAACCACAGATTATAGCTTTACAGAAGCACATATAGTTACATTAACTGTGCTCACATCTACTTTCAGACCAAGGTAAAATAAATAAATAAGTTCCATCTTTCTTTCAGCGCGTTAATAAATTCAATTCCGGTCTTTTTTCCCCATAAGCTAACTAGAGTACAACATCCAAACCAAACCCAAACCCATTGCCATTATTGATTTCAACTCACAGCAACTTCCATAGGGTTTCCAAGGCTGTAAATCTTTACAGAAGCAGACTGCCTCATCTTTCTCCCCTGGAGCAATTTGGTGGGTTCGAATTGCTTTTGGTTAGTAGCCTATTGCCTTGCCACAGTGCTATCAGAGTGCTGGAGTACATCAGTAACACAACAACGCAACACACTGCCGGGGAGTTGGGTCCGACTTACAGCAACCCCTCCTTGGGTTGCCAAGGCGATATCACTAGGGAAGTAGATTGTCCAGCCTTCCTTCAGAGGAGTGGTTGGTGGGTTTGAACCGCCAGCTTTCTGGTTAGCAGTCAAATGCCTTAGGCACATCAGTGAGGAGTTCATTTTAAACCTCTGGAAATCAAACTTCAGAGTCAAGGGTAAACTCACCTGGACTATTCACAGATCTGATCTACTAGGACCTGTGCCTCTTTGCAATTGTAAACTTGTACCTAAACTCCTAAGGACCCCTAGTGGAGCAGTGCTTAAGCACCCAGCTGCTCATTGAAAAGTTCAAGGCTTGAACCCACCAGCTGCTCCAAGGAGAAATATGTGACAGTCTGCTTCCCTAAAGATTACAGTCTTGGAAACTTCATGGGCAGTACTCTGCTCTATGGGGTTACTATGATTTGGAATCCACTTCACTGGCAACAGGACACAAGCTCTTAGTCCCTTTGAAGTGAAAGTGATGGGGCAGTGTGATGCCGCGAGGTTTTGCATCTGAGACTCCCTTTTATTGGAGAGGTCCCATCTATGGGTGGAGAAGGAATAAAAGATATTGCCCTTTGACAAAAAGAAAGGGAAGGACGAAGAAGGGGTCTGTTTCTGCTAACACAGAGTTACACGGACTTGATCGGACTTGAGGATTTGGGTTCAACTCCGATCCCCAGCTTCTTCATTTCTACAATGCAAGAAAATCTACCTCATGAGGTTTGATGTAACGGTAAAATCACAGAGCGTGCAAAGTGTCGTGTCGTATGTGTATACACACACACATACACACACAGTGTTTTCTCTCCCCAAACAGGGTAGGAGGAAAGAGTGAGCGACCGAAGCAGTACAATTCACAACTCCCAGACTCGCCCCGCCTCCCGCAGGCATTTACTTGCAGGAAGGATGGCCCTACCCGGCCCCAGGCCAGCCCAGCGCCCCCAACTCCCCGACAGCGGTCCCTGGTCCCCGCGGGAAGTGACTGCCCCACTCACCTTGGAGCCGCTAGCTTTTTGCTGGGTAAGCCAGCAGTCCCTCGCTACCCGCCTCTTATAGGAGCGGGCTCCGGAGCGGGTGAATTGGCACCGAAGGCAGCCGGGCAATAGCCAATGAGAAAGCAGGACCGACGGACTTGGCTGGGGTTCGCTCACTAGCCGGAGATAGTCAACCAGCTCTGACTTCTGCTTCTTGCTAACTGCCCCCGCCAGCCTGTGCCCTGACACTTACCTTTCAGCAGTCTCTGGCCGGTGGTTTTAATTAAGGTAACGTTAGGCCAGCCTTAACTACAGAAGTCTAATACTAAGGAGTTCAGAGGTGCAAATTCCCTCCACACGAAGAAAATAAGTATTATCGGCATAATGACCTCCTATAGGCGTGTACTGCCTCTGGGTTGGCGACCAAAACAGGAATCTTTCGCTTCCCTGAGTAAGGTCACTTTAAAGGAATGAGCAAAGAACTTTCTTTAAGCGTCTCTGAACATAGCCAAGCCCCCACGACCCTGGGAGACTCCAGGCATGTCGGCTTTACTACTTCTCCGACAGAATTTTAAGAAGACCCTGGCCCTTCCCAAAATATCTTCAGCATTGTGGCTGGAATTCCACCAATTAAGAATTTTCACATACTCTGGGAAGGCTTAGGGAAAAGACCATCTGTTGGGTAAATATTTGTCTATACTTTCTTAATTTAAAGTGTTAACGTTAGTGTTAATTAGTCTCAAGCTGATTTTACAGAATGAAATGTACATGTGTGTGTATGTATGTACTTTTCCATGGACGTTACAGAAAAAGCACATCAAGATATTTGAAGAAAACAGGGAGTGTGTTAGTTTCTTATTGTTGCTGTAACAAATTACCATAAACTTAGTGGTTTAAAACAACACAAATTTATCATCTTACAGTTCTGGAAGTCAGTTCACTGGTCTAGAATCAAGGTGTCAGCTGGGCTGCGTTTTTTGTTAGTTCATTTTCCAGAGGCTGTAGGGGAGAATCCATTCCCTTGGCTTTTCCAGCTTCTAGCAGCTGCTTGCAGTCCTTCGCTCCTGACTGCTTCCTCTATTTTCAAAGCAAGCTGGGTGGCATCTTCAAATCTTTTCTGACCCTCCTGCCTCCCTCTTTCACTTACAATGACCTTAGTGATTATTGGACGCACTAGGATAGTACAGGATAATCTCATTTCAAGAAACAGCTCTCAAAAACGTTATGCTAAGTGAAAGAAGTCAGACATAAAAGGTTACATATTGTGTAATGTCATTTACATGAAATATTCAGAATGGGTAAATCCATAGAAACAGAACGCAGAGTAGTGATTTCCAAGGACTGTTCCATAGGAACAGACTACTTAATGGACAAAGAGTTTTATTTTGGAGTGATGGAAATATTTTGTGACTGGATAGAGGTAGTGGTTATACAACATTGTGAATATACTAAATGCCATTGAATTGTTTCCTTTAGAATGGTTAATTTTATGTTACATGTTATATTAATTTTATCTCCAGAAAAAGAATGAAATTGATCTCTTCACCCCCAAACCTTCCTTCCTACATATCCATCTCTCTTACCTCCTTGATGTTGTTGTTGTTATATGTCGTCCAGTCGGCCCTGACTCATAGTGACCCCTCCCTGGTTTCCCAGGCAGTATCACTACGGAAGTAGATTGCCCAGCCTTCCTTCCAAGGAGTGGCTGGTAGATTTGAACCGCCAGCCTTCTGGTTAGCAGCCAACCTCCTATATGCCATAAATCATCACATTTGGTCAATTCTACCTCCAATATATTCGGAAGGAAGATAGGGCAATCTGCTTCTGTAGTGATACTGCCTCGGAAACCCAAGGAGGGGTCTCGGGTCCGACTGGACAGCACATAACAACAATAACAACAACTTCCAATATATACTTAAATTCACCCACTCCTCTTCATCTTCTCTGCCACTATGCTACTTCAATCCATCATCATCCCTTCTCCGAAATACTGCAATTTCTCTTCACTGGTTTCCCCTTATCCATGCCAGCCCCTCCTCCTATCCATTCTCATTTTTCAAACATTTTAAAAACTGTTGTATAGAGTTTATAAAGTTTTTGCCATACTTAAAAATGCAAACACAATCATGTTACTACTCTGATTAAAAACCATACAATCCTTCCCATTATCCATAGGATGAAGTTTAAAATCCCTTACCTGACCTTTAAAAGCCCAAAATGTGCCTCCTACATACTTTCTGGCCTCTTTTCCTAACATTCTACATTGCACTCCATGCCCACTGGACTGTTTTCTGTCCCAAATTCCTTACCACATCAAGGCCTTCCTATATGCTCAGAGCTGAATGTCTCCACCTTCACCCCTGC